GTAAGAGCATATCTGCTTGCACGGAGGAGGCTCCCCTGAAAGTCAACCTTCAAACACTGTATGACGGTAGGATACATGGCGCAGATAAAAGGCAACGTTAATGAGCGCCGAGTATAATATTTCCTAATCGGCGGAATGATGTGTTCTATATGCTTTCTCAAGTCTTCAAAAAAAGACACCTTCCTTTGAAAAAAGAGTACCAAAAGAATTTATTCATCCAATGGCAGCATTAGACACGAATGTGAACTCAACAATGCTACAAGAGGATCGGGTGCTATTTGGCTTGGGAGGGACATTATGCACGTTTTAGTTGATTTTGCTAGCTAATGTTAACAAACAGGAACTGACACCAATTGTCCTGTAAGATAATGTTAAGCACATGGTGCAAAACAAATCTTCACAATGTGCCCTGCACAAACTTCGCTGCTCACCGTTTGCTACCACCCGTAGGAGGCCGTGCCAAGACACACTTTTTAGAAGTGGGGGGGGGGGGTTGGAGAGGCAATGACACCACCATGCACCCATCTGGAAGCTGCACGCTGGCTAAGCTGTTTCCCTCCCTTCGAGCTTCAGCGCTGCTAATGGCGACGAAAACGGAGGCAGGTGGGCTTTGGTATACAGTTCACTTCAAAAAAAGTGTTTTGATGTGAATTTCATGTTGATAAACAAATAGATTATTCGGGTGATATATCAATATTCATGTAGAGCTGAGGGCAGAATAAAAGCTGCTGTGGTGGCAGTAACCAAGCAATACAACACGTTTCCGCCATGCTCCCACAACTGCGGTTCTTGTTCATTCTGCTCAGTGAGTTGTTACGATTAGTTATAGTTCACCATGAAAAATTATTCAGAGGGGAAAAAATCCCACTTGTTTATTGCAGGCGCAACTCTGGCACTGGAAATGCGGAATGGAACAGGTCAGCACCATTTCAATTCACTAAAATATCACTAAGTCACTCGGAAAGTGGTGCGGCAATTTGACTTGTTTTCAAGGGGGGGGGGGGAGGAGAGGAGTCGCTCTTGGTTGTTGGTAAAGGAGCGGACGGGGATCCTATCTTGCATAGGAATTTTTGCGGGGTCGTTTAAGAAGCGCTCTGCGTTGCTGACTTTTTGCCTTTTGTAGTTTTATTTATATTACATACAGTGCTAGTGGAAGAGGGTGGGGTCTATTCAAAGTCCCATGCAGTAGCTATTTCCAAAAGATGAAAGTAGTTATTGTTTGGGACCTCTTCCTCCCTCCCCTCCCCCTTCCCCTGCACGGCAGAAGTTTCCTGGAGAAAATGTGGGAATTTCCTCGAAAAAGTGGGAAAAAGAAAGCGGATGATGGAAAAATCTGGGAAAATGGTAAGTAAGACGAGGTGGGGTAGTACCGGTGGAAGGATTAACAAAGGGAGGAGAGCTCTGACACCGCTGCGTTTCCCATCCCGATACTG